CTCACCCTACCACCATTTGTTTTCAAAAGAGTTCAAAAGTAAATCCTAGAATTTTCTGTTGTCTCAGTCCAGTGCCAGGCCTTCTAGTGCTAACATTTCTGAAACTGTTAGGGATAAAAATTTGTGTCTTTAATATTGCAACTTGTTCATGAGATTCAGGGAGATTCCCACTTTTGAATTTACACACTGCATTCTTAATTGTTTGTAATTTCGTTGTGGAATTTATTCCATTAAATCACCCGCTCCACTCCTCCCAAGACATCTTTTTTATCTCCCTCATCACCTCCTCCCATGGGAGCTCGCCTCCAGGACTTCTCCAGAGCCTCTCCCATCCTCTGGAACTCCCTACCACAGTATGTCCGGTCAGCCCCCACCCTGTCTACCTTTAGGCGATCTTTGAAAACTTACTTATTCAGGGAAGCCTACCCCACCTCCACTTAAGAACTGTACCTGAATCACCTCCACCAGATCATCCCCTGCAGCTATTGCCTTTTGCATCACCTCCCCCTTCCTTTAGATTGTAAGCTGCGCGAGCAGGGCCCTCACATTCCTTCTTTACTGAAATATATTGTAATTGTACTGTCTCCCTTATATTGTAAAGAGCTGAGCAAACTGTTGGTGCTATATAAATCCTGTATAATAATAATAATATTCACAATGACAATAAATTAATCTCTTAATTTCATACCTTCCAGACGCATTGTAACAGCAATACTCAGAATGCCAATGCCCACATTTCATAGGCAATTAATCTATTTATACAGGAACCACAGTCTGGCAGCATATGAGTATTACTAAGATAGGAAAAGAAAAGGGCGATTTAATAGGGGCCCCCCTTTTCTTATGGGACTGTGGCAGGGAAAAAAGTTTTAAGTACCCCCCACTCTATTTATAAAGTGGGGAAAATTCTAGAAGGTCAGCAGGGTTTTTAGTCCCCCCACTGATGTGTGGTGGATAAAAAAAACATTAAAAGTTTCAAGCGCCCCGTTATATATAAGGGAAAAGCTTCTAGAAAATGGGAGTTCTTAGCCCCCCACTACACTTGGACATTCCTGGAAGGCAAACTGGCCAATCAGTTGAAGAATATGAGAGAGGAGAGGGCTATAAAAGGGGGGTTCTGTTCACAGGGGAAGCAGAAACCTAGGAGGCATCTCTGTGGTGCTCCCCTCCCACCCGCCCCCTTTTTATTGTCGCGGCCACTTATTATTGGTTGGGTCACCTTTGTCAAAGGAGGATGATTACCTAAGGATGTTTATTTGATGGATGTTTAGAAAGGTATGGTTGATAAGTGTTGTTTTAATATGTACAGCTTGAGTCCTAGTGACTAAGTTGGTGTTGAGTAGTATTAATTTAAGAAAAAATGTTTAAAATATTATTATTAAGATAATATGTACAAATAAAGAGTTATTATAAAACATTTTACCGGTAGTTACATTTATACCAATAATAAAATGGCCGCTGCCAAGTTAGTACCAAAAAAACAAAAGTTGTGGTCTTTTATTTTTTAAAGAATAAAGCATGCTGCCTACAGTCCCATAGGTTGGCAGTACAGATAGTCGTTAATTGGGTTCAAAGGTTTGTCCTCAAACTCTGCAGGCACTTTGTATTCTAGGTGTGGCTGCCAGCCCCATTCACTCTAATTATATTTTGCTGATAGCCACACCTATTCGAGATTCTTTACACAGCCAGCGATTGCCTGCGGTGATCACTGCTGGATGCACTATGTATGTGTCCAGCAGCAATCACCACAGGTAATTGCTGGCTGTGTAGAGTGCCGCGAACAGGCCCAGTGGCCGCACCTACCCGCTGAAGGTCACAGGAGGAACTGCTTATCAGCTATCCCTATTGTTAGTGTACGCACCCAAGACAATTTCTCCTATTCCATTATGGCCCAGGAGGATCAAAAGGTTGAACACCCCTGTCCTAGAGGGAAAGTGTTTTATTAATTTCATTCCATTTGGTCTATTGACCCTGAGAGTAAATTAATTGTCTGTTTTGTATATATTTTTCAAGCGTTGTGACCATTAAATGTATATTTTATTATATTCATTGTTATTGCTTGTCTTGTTATGGCTGAGGGGGTAAATGTACTTGATATAGGGGACCTGAAGTGTGGCTTCTGGCATTATCAAATGCCACACATATTCAGTGAATATGTTGTTATAGATAGATGTCACAGACAGCATATACTGTATGCAACAGGAGATGGTCAGAAACATCGAACGTGATATGAGAGTTGAAAAATGGGGACATGCTTCAGTAAACATATAGGATGGAGACACATTACATGAGACACATAGGATTAAACATATTTCATGAGACTGCTCCAAACTAGGGATGGTTTCAGTGTTTAGGGTGTTTGGTGTGGATGAATGTGACAGCTTCCAGCTGTCAATGGTTGCTAAGGAAGCACCGGATGCTTGCACCTACTGCATCCTTACCAACCACTGATGTCACCCGGCTCATTCACTTACCTGGCTGGAAATTCCTGAGCACATAAGCAAATGGGTGGGGATTGGAGGGGTTACATTATTGCTTAAATAAGAACATGGCTATATTTTGGCAATCATGTCACCACTATCTCTGCCCTTCCCTTATATAAGATGATGAGAGCTCAAGGAGCTGTCATTTGGCTGTGTAGCATTGGTCATGTGCCCCGGGTCGTCGCTTTTTTTTTTAAGTGGATTTTTTTTTTATTAAAGAACTTCACACTCATTCATATAGGGAGGTGCTATCTGGGCCCCTATCTTGGGGCCCAGATAGCTTGCAGATTCTAATAAGCCTCCTGACCACAGATTATGACAATCCCTGGCTTGTGGGGAAGAGGCCCTTGTCCTCATCAACATGACGACAAGTTGCTTTGCCAAGGGGGAGGGACTAGGCAAGGCACCCCCCCTTATGTCAGCCAGGCTGCATGCTCATATTAAGGGTCTCATATGGATTACCTGGGGGAACTCACACTTTTTATGAAAGGTACCCCCTTAAAATCCATATTTCACGCATTTTTAATTCTTTTTCTTTATGATGAAGAAGACTTTTGCACTTAAACCTCCAAATGAAGAAGTGACTTGATGCCTTCAGTGACAGTTTCAGGCACCAAGATACCAACATCAAGTTCATCCCAGTTTTCACCTGATGCTTTTGGACTTGTGCATGTTTTCACTTTCTTGTTTCCTTTTAGGCCCATGGACAAGTTATCTTTTATGTACTTATAATGTGTTATAGTGAAATCTTACCCCACTTTTATGTAATTCTTCAGTGTTGTGTTGAACTGCATCAAGTTATTGTTCTGTAGTGTGCTGACATATCAAGGCAATTATGTGCCCTACAACTTGTTTTCTATATGATTTGGTATCTTTTTTGTCCTCCCCCCTGTTAAGTGTTACTTTGTTCAGCCCTAGATAAACATCTCCCCATTTCTTCCATGCTCCCTCATTTAATGTTAGTACTTCACAGAGACAAGGCTTAGGAAAGTCATTGTCTTCTTACACTTTAAAGGACTGGAAAAACATCCTCTATTCTGCAATTAGCTTACGTAAAACTGCATTTTTCATCCAGCTTCTGTGTCCTATTGAATTCTTAAGTTGCCTGTGCAAGGTGCCAAGTCAGCAAGTAGCCATACTGTCCAGACAGTCTGGGTCTAAGAAGGTACATCAATGCATGAAGTGGCATTTGAAGCTGAACACATATTACTGTACATTTACTTGCTTTTCTCAACTAGTCTAAAAAGCCTTGATTAGACAACTGCCATCTTATGTCTATAGCTAGCTTTAATCAAAGACCAAAGACCATGGACATCGTCTCTGTGTAAATAGACTTCATTTAATTAATTACTCTTGTTGAAAGCACTGGGAATATATTCAAATGACTAGATAATTAAGCTTTCACATATTTGCTGGATCAGAATTATTGTTTAGAATTCAAGAGGGAAGGATGGTGCGATCAGCACCATTCCTAGTATGAACAGATTGTTCTAAGAACACATACGGAGATCTTCTGTTAGCTGTCCCTACTCTTGGAACAGCTCAACAATTTTACAATTTACAGTGGCCAAGTCTGTTTTCTGTGAACGGACCGATGCTTTCCAGAATGATTTGAAAGACAAGTTTAAGTTTTAAACATCAGTGGTGGAAATAATTGAGCCTATTTAAAAATTCATAGTTAATTCATGCATCCTTTATTTCTGTCTGTTCAAACAGAATACAAAATTATAATGAGTCTGCAGGGTTCCTGTTGTGCCAGTACTAACAAACTCATCGGTCTAACAAATCTATTAAAGTGGTAGTAAACTTTGAATTTGTATTTTATCTTACAGGTAAGCTTATAATAAAGTTTACCTGTAGGTTAAATGAATATCTCCTAAATGTGCACAGTTTAGAAGATATTCTAGGGAGCAGAATCTGGTAACGTCACTGGCAGACACGCTCTGGAGGAATGGCATACCCAAGGGCGGACTGACAACTCATGGGGCCTCCGGGCAATAGGGGATAATGGGGCCCCTGTGTCCTTGCCCACACTCAAAGCACACCCAAAAAAGCCTATAAAAAAGGTACCAGGGGCATTTCATGGGGCCCCCTACTGGCACCGGGCCCTCGGGCAGTGCCCGAGTGCTCGAATGGTCAGTCCGCCCCTGGGCATACCCGTGATGTTCCTTTAGAGTTCTGTGCCACAGCTGTGACTCCTGAGCGCATTTGCGGCAGTGATGTCATCGTTGCTCGGCCATTGAAGCGGCCACATCATGTGAACCAGGAAGGAAGACCGGTTGAAGATGGGAAGCAGAGGTGGCAACTCACTGCTGGAGGGTTTTGTTTCAGGGTAAGTCTTTTATAATGTGCTAGTATGCAGTGCATACTAGCACATTATGCCTTTACCTTGCAGGATTTGTTTGTTTTGTAACCTTTACTACTGCTTTATGACTACTAAAAAGGAGAATAGTGTACTTTAGGTCAGGGCTTAAAATTTCAAGTCCAGAGCTACTAGCCAGGCCTTAAGAGTTACTCGCCACCAACAAACACACACAAACAGAGACACCTGTACACACAGACAGGCATGTACATACACACACACACAGAAACGTACACACACGCACAGAGACACATGTACACACACACACACATACAGACACATGTATACACACACAGGCACATACAGACACACATACACACAGATACATGTACATACACAGAAATACACACGCACAGAGACATGTACATACACACAGACACATGTACATATATACACAGACACATGTACACACAGACACATATACGTACATACACACAAACACACACACACACACACGTACATGTACACACACACAGACACATGAACACACACACATACATGTACATACACGCAGACACATGTACAGATACACACATGTACATACACACAGACACATGTACATATATACACAGACACATGTACACACAGACACATATACGTACATACACACAAACACACACACACACACGTACATGTACACACACACAGAGACATGAACACACACACATACATGTACATACACGCAGACACATGTACAGATACACACATGTACATACACACAGACACATGTGCATGCATACACAGACACACACAAACACACACACCCCCCCCCCCCCCCCCCATATAAAAAGTTGCAGTACTTCGTTGTTCACTCAGATCCGGGTACTGCACTCTAGGGGGAGGCAGAGAGCACAGCACACACTCCTTGCTTTGCTTTCACTGCGCTCAGCTATTGAGCAGTCTGACGGCTCCCAGTGCCAATGACAGATCTGGCCTGAGCTCCGAGCCTGCTCAGAAAGACAGCCCTGGGCGACACACTCGCCCCCCACCATAATTTCCACTCGCCATTGGCAAGCAGGGGAGTGGAAATTTCAAGCCCTGCTTTAGGTGAAACTGTCAGCTCACCTTATCTCTCAAAGTGGTCCCAGATCCATAAAGCAGGAGTCCACATTCTTGGATTATTTTCTCAGTTGGAATCTTCACAATTGAGAGTGCTCTATTTTGCAAATCAACCACATAAAAAAATGTGTTGTCTGAATTTGTTTTTTGTCTTTTTTTTTCTTTATTTTCATCCGATGATCCTGCTAGTGAGTCTATTATTTTTCAACTTCTTTAGCAGAGTAAACTGTCCATCAAAAGTTTCAGTTAGAGGGTTGGGGCAAATCATTTAACACTAAGAGAGGTGCTCACGATGGTCAGCTTGTATTCACTTATGTAAAACCGTTATCTCAAATGAAAAAAATAACCGTTTCCTTTTGGGATAAAAAAATATTAGGTGTTAGGTGTCAGGCTTTAATTTGTTAGTCGTTTATGTAAAGACCATGTGAATCTACTAGTCTACCTAATGCTACCTTCTCCAGACAATGCTGTAGCCATCACATCTAAGGATTGGTAAGCTGTGATATACTGTATATTACCCTTTTGTTTTTGGCTTTAAATATTCTTTAGACTCTTGCCTGCCCCATCCTTCAGGCTGTTATGATTTCCTATTAGCTAGTGAGGTAGCTTAATGCTTATCACATTTGATAGCCAGCAGGAAGGAGTAGTTCACAAGGAGTCAGGTTAAAGCTCAAAGGTGAGGTTTATATTTATGTAATGCCCTCCAGGTTAGCTAAGTAGTTTTTTTTGCCGTTCAGAGGCTGAGTAGCAGCCTTAAGAGGAGACCCAGGGAAGGGGCCTACCTACAGGCAGGTGCTGGAGAAGAGGATCTCCACTGAACCACCATCTTCAAGGGAGGATATCCTGAGCAGCAGGGAAGGATCCAACCCACTGAAAGGCCTGAAAGCAGCCATCAACCCATTAAGCTGTCGGAAAGGGCAGAGTGAGTACTCTTACACCACCTGGGCTGCATAAGGAGAGAGGGCAGTCAGGCGGAAAACCCAACTAAGCTGCTCATCTGGGGCTGCTGTTTTAAATTGGCAGTTTCTAGCCCCCTTGCCCAGGGAATACCCTCAGGCATCTAGGTGAAGACAAGGATTCATCTTTGAACTGAGGAGGTACATCAGAGATCTGGAATGCTCTTAAAGGAGAGACTATTTTTGTCCAGATCTGTACATAGTTGCTGAGGAGTTTTTCCCTCAATTTTGCAGTTTACTTGGGCATCCCATACACCCCTCAAGCCCCTAGCAACTGGCAACCAATGAGCCAGAAGATTGTGTGCTGCTCTACAGGGTCATGGAGCTAAGCGGGAAAGTGGAGTTGTGCAGTACTGCTGGCATTATGGATGTTGCTGTGATTCAAGTACTTTTGCAAATGCTATTGAAACCTGCAAAAGTCAGTGTCTGCATTGTGTTCCTGATTTTCGTTGTCTGGAGCAACCGGAGCGGCCTACTTGTCTGTGGATTGCAAATTTACAGTTGTTTTACAGTGGCTGGACTCAGTGACTCTGTGTTCATGTGCTTTATTGCCATTGCTACTACAACTACCAACTCCCAGTCACCCAACAATGGCTGGGGCCAAATGTTTTGCAACCGTCAATGAACTGTCTTTATGTTACTGCCTGGATTCAGTGGTCTATAAGCTTGAAAATCAGTCAGCACACTACCGCTTGGTGAAGTGGGGGTTAACAAATGCATAGGAAAAATCCTGCATAACAGTCTTGCTGGCGCCAAAATGTCAGAGAGAGGGGCGTGGCCACATCCTCAAGACCACCCAGTACACCCAGTATGCTGAGAGTATGAGAGAGAGGAACAAGATGGAGGGTGTTGTTCAGACTGTGTTGAAGTTTTGGTGCCCAGAAATGCCGGAGGTGACTGCCTAGAGCATCGCAGAGGTTTTGCCCTCAGGCTGTTAAAGGGGACGGAGAGACTATGTCTAATTTGCCCTGAATGCAGGAGGCCAGCTGCCTTGGTCGGAGCATGAATAATGTGCGGGCACTGTGGAGAGACACTCAACAAGCTGATGCCCAGTGCCCTGGTGCCTCGCACCCACAGTCTGGACCTGCAGATTGGCCTGTGTACGGAGAAACTGGAGAGTCGGAGTTGGAGAGCCGAAAAGTGCTCAGAGTTTGGATAGCAGAGTGGGATTGAGTCCCAGGACCATGATTCTCCTATCCTGATGGCGGATCCTTGCAGTAGAGGATGACAGCCTGCCATCACCTATCATCCAGCTGGAGACACTGCTGACGCTGCCCAGCAGGAACCAGCAAGTGTCCCAGGGAAACCAGCTGTACAAGTTAACTTTGTCACCCCTGCTCAGAAAGTGTCCGATCCAGATGACTCTTCTTTGTCAAGTGAGATTTAGTGGGGAGTGACAGGGGTGGTGAACCAGTTTTGGGGTCTAAAAGTACTTTAGTTAGGATTCCTGACCCTAACACTCATACTACTGAGCAAATTGACCTTATCCTACTACTTGCTAAATGCGGCCATGTACTGTTAAGGCTGATGCAGGATTCCAGCCTAAGGAGGGCAGCTATTTTCTTTGCTATGGAGGGACGCTGTCTTTATTTACCATAGGCTCATTTTCTAGAGTAGTGTTTCTTTTTTCAATCAAGGCACCCTTTAAAATTTGGCAGAATCCCAGGGCACACCAATCAAAAATTAATAAAAAAATGAAATGTTACTTACATCAATGGGATACTTGAGCCTGGGATGACCCACACAAACCGCTCTAGTCTGGCAGGAATGGATGAGAGACAGACATGGGGCTCCTGGTCCACAGTCCTCAGTCGTTCTCTGTTCTTGTTCGTGATGTAGGTCAGATTCAAAAAGCGCAGTTCACACAAGTATGTTGTAGAGAAAGGTAGCAGAACTTTAATGGTGGTGCTTGAAACTACTGAGTACTTACTCTCCAATGATATCCAAAACCTATCCAAAGCCATATCTGAAAATTTAATTTTTAATTTGCGATCCTCCCTGATCTCTGCCAGTTGCTCTTGTTCCTCTAGTGGCAAGTTTTTTTGAGCTTTCCAGTGCACATGAACTCCAAGGGTTACAGACCCAGTCAAAATCTGCAAAAGCTTCCAATAGAAAATAGTGACTAAATCTTTTGTTGAACATTTTTGGGTGCTGAGAGATAAGATCTGAAATTGTGCCGCCGTTTGAATGTGCATTGCACAGGGGAAACATCTCAAGACTGCCCTGCCCTACAAAGGAGCACCAGAGTGTGAGCTTAGATCTGAAGCCATGTAATGTGTCAGATGAGGTGAGAAGATTCTCTTCTTTACCTTACATTTTAGCACTCAGCTCACTGAGATGCCTAAAAATGTCGGCCAGGTATGCACGTTTTCCGTACAATTGCGTGTCTTCCATCAATTCTGCATATGCAGAATTCTGTCCTATTAGAAACATTCTTATTTCTTCTCTTAACTCATATATTCTGTCTAAGACTTTTCCCCATGAAAGCCAGCGGACTGCAGTGTGTAACAAGTTATGATGTTCTGCTCCCATTTCCTTACACAGAATTGAAAACAGACGTGTCTTTTAGGGTCACACCTAGATATAATTCACAATGTTCACCACTCCATCCAGTACATCTGACAGTTCTTTTGGCAGGGTTTTTGTAACTAGTGCCTCCCTGAGAAGAAAGCAGTGAGTCTTTCGCACATTTGGATTCTAAACTCTGACTCTGCTGATGAAACCCTTGGCACTACCCATCAATGCAGCAGTCCCATCAGTGCAGACACTGATACAGGTGTAGTGCTTACACCCGAAGGAGCCGCTGGAATTAATGGGCACTTCTGTCCTACTTCAGTGATGAACCATATATATTGGATCCACAGCACACCAGTACACCCTGTGGGAAGTTTTATAAACAGGTTTAATCAGACAGGTAAAACTCTGCAAATAGACTGCAGATTAATTTGAAAAATAGCAGATAAATGCACTGAATACACAAACCTTCTAGAATTAGCATAATAACATCAATAAACACAATATTAATGTATATACGTATATACTGGTATAGCTATAGATCAGAATTAACCCCCTGCAACTATAGCAGTAATATGTCCCCAGCTACACTGACATCTCTTTAGGCTCAGTCCCAAATTCACTTGTATACTGTGGGATTGTAACACTGTGTGAGTCTATGTGTTGCACAGGCCTGTGTTAGTGAATCGGTGGAGTGCTCTTATGGACTGACATGTCACTGGTTAGCAGTTGCTCACCACATCCAAGAAGAACAGTCTCCAGGGGTTAACTTCTTGAAGGGATGATGAATGGGGCTCTGTCTCTTTGGCTAGTGTTTCCTGTTGTCAATTGTTGGTGCTGCACAATCTCTGAGGTGCCTCACCTGGGATGGTCACACGCCTCCTCTGCGATTTCCAACACTCTGACCTCTCTCTTTGCGGTGAGAGATGTCGTTGTTGTCGGTAACTGCTGTGACTGGTACCAATCATCACAGTTGTTGTTGACTTCAGCTGCTGTAGATAACCATTGTCCTTAGCAACCTCTGCTGTTCTGAAAACAGTGTCAGTGTACTTCAACAGTACGGGCTGCAGACTATCTCCTACATGTCCTCTGAAAAAAGGCACACGTGGCTCTCCTCTCCCTCCTCCTTGCAAAGCATCCTGCTCCCTGTAGTCCTCTGCAAAGGCACATGTGGCTCTCCTCTCCTTCCTCCTTGCAGAGCATCCTGGTCCCTGTAGTCCTCTGCAGCATAAGGTTACAATGTCTGCCTCTGTGATGAAACTGCAACCCCCACAAACACTCCAATACTGCTGAGAGCTGAGCCAATCAATCCCTTTCTGACAACATGCATTCTTAAAAGGGAAACAGTTCTTTAAAGGGGAAACAGCAATGGCCCCGCTACACAGGTCTTCCAGCTTAAACCACCCTGTTCAAGATATTCAGTTGTCACACGATAAATCTCTCTATTTGTTTTCTTGGGTAGTGGTTTGCAAAAAAAAAAAAAAAGACTCTATGATATGATCTCTGTG